GTGAATTAAAACTTTTACTGTAAACTACATTCGATCCTAACACATCAGTAAGAGCATGAAGAAAATCGCCAATGGAATGCAGTTAACGGCGGTTAACCGCGGTTAACTGCGATAACCGGAACGGTCAAATGGGCGTTGAAGCGGACGGTAAACTGCGGTTAACTGACGGTTTTAAAGCGGTTTGTATGACATGGGTTGTTATCCATAGAACAATCAATATAATGAATATAATACCTACGCTGAGTTCACTCCATCTGCAAATTAAAATAGATATATATATAAATATATATGCATTTATAAACCAAAATTATTTACTTCGGTCGTCCAAGGTCTCTATATTGTTTCGTTAGTAATGCCTTCAGCTTAACTTGAGATTTACGTGTTTCAACAGAAGGTCGACATTGAAATAGTCTAGAAGTAGATTAACTAATGTGTTTTTTTCTTCTAGTACTGTGTTCGAGACAAACTCTTTTCTGTTATAACACAGCTGTAACCATAACCAACAGAATATAAGCATTAATATTCCAACCGGTAAAGCAAATAGTAGAAAATTGAGGAAGTTTATACGAAAGTTAGTACCATTGTATTTACTATATCATATAAAATCAAGTAAATTTATTCTTTCTATTCTCTATAATTACCTATCTATAAAACCTTTAAGATAAATATTGGGTGTAGTACCAACTAAACTAGATAGTCCGCCGATAGATGATGAATAAGCTATGGCAAGAAGAAATCCTATTAGATAAAATTATGCATCAAATAGAGTTAACACATATCCATCAGTTGGAAAGAAAATCACCTTTCTTCAATTGATCATTCTTTTTCGTATCTGTATTGTTCAGTTTAACTTCTTGTTGCCTAAAGTTTAGTATATAATGTTTAGCTAGTATTTATTAATACATACATTTCTGGTACTCTATGAAATGAAAACAACAAGTATTATATATTATATGAGAATGTTTAATTTCATATGCTTACGATAGTTCCATACATTGGATAGGACGATCGATCTCGTCAGATTCTGTGATATTAAATGCATCTAAATATGTTTACATGTATATAGTACGTAGTATAAGTAAGTATTGATTATTATACTACCGTTTATAACGGTTGTTGTTTGTATATTACTTTGTCGTCTATCAAGAGAATTTTTGTTATAAACACTGAGTTCATCGACGATAGCCAAGGTTACGGGCAACATAATTGATGTCGATGCAGTATTATTTATCCACATTGAAAGAAATGCTGTTGCTCCCATTAGACCAGCCATAATCCTAATTATTCATTACAAGAAATTAACATCTAAGAATTGAGTAAATTTTAAAATCTCAAATTTATTAGGAATAGTACACGTTTTTATCATCTTCCTTTAAAAAATACTTTCGTACCATTTAGTTCCCGTGCCAACCCAACTTAAAACAAATAGAGCAATACGACGATGAAGATTAACCGATTCGACAGCATAACCGAATGCCATACTACCGAAAAAAAGTGCAATAATATCTTTGAAATAGTGGGGTGCCACTACTTCTGCAGTTAAAACACCAGCCTAAGAATAAAAAAATATGTTAAGAATTCAAACCGGTTAAAATATTTTGTTTTTCTCAAATATAACATTTATTGATATTTTTTGATTCTATCAAAGACTGAGATGGGTTAAGCAAGTTTTCTTCATTACGGTTGCAAGGAATTAATCATTTTTTAGATTTTAATATTATAAAGATTATAGTTTAACACTTCGTTTTTCTTTACCATCGGAAACAGGATCAGTGGTAATAAAGAAGTAACTGGTAAAGGTATTGCTTCAGTAATCCAATATATGGAGAGAATAATTACAACATAACCGCATCGTCCTTGCTAGAGAAAAAAAAGCATGAATGTAAACATATTTTAAGATCAATAACACACACTGGCTAACGTACAGGATTATTAATAAGAATCGGTAATGGAAGTAAAACCAATGGTGTTAGAATTACTAACAGTAAACGCCATCGTTGTGTCAACCAAGTAATTATTGATGCATTCATGATTTATTCAATAAACAAGAAGAATGTAGTATCGCTTGTCACACGTAAATACTTGTGTTTAAGTAATGATTTCTTGTCTATATTCGATTAATACGATAGATTCTTTAGAATTTTTGAAATAAAAAACAACGTGGTTATTATTCATTGGTTAAGCAATACATTACAAGTTTTATCTATTGATTTTGTTTTTATCTCCAAAGCAAAATTGCATTGATTGATCTTTCTTTTAAATGTCTCATTTGTCATTCAGTGAATATAAATATATTGTCGAGCCTATCGATATTAATCTAATAGCTAATACAAGAATCGTGTTTTATCACTATTTCAATTGTTTTGTCAGAAGAGAAAGTATCAAGCAGATTATGTTCTCACAAAACCGATGTATTCATACTATTATACAGGGAGGTGAATAAGTGAAGGGCGTTTTATTTGAACATAAGTTGCATCGTAATAATAAATCCTTTGAAAAGTTATTTTTATATAACGTAAATCAGTGGCAAGAAAATGAGATTAGAGTCAAGATACAACATTTTATGAAGACAAAACATAATAGATAATGTAAGATATACGAACAACTCATATTAATAATTATTCTTCAAATTTTCATTCAAAAATTGCTCATTAGATTTGATCTTGTCATAAAAAGATACTTTTCTTTAAATCTTCTACTTATTATGGTCAATCTTCTTCAACCGACTGATTATTCATTGATATTTGAAAATAAATAATATTTTTGCAGCTTTATTTATAACATAGTGGTAATAAAAAGTCCATTGTAATCAAATAATTGATACAAATAAACACTCTAAGGAGTTAGATAAGAACACTTTAAATAAAAGTCATTTGAATATACTTGATTTACCTAATGAAATATTACTCATGATTATCAATAAACTGGCTTTTATAGATGCTTTTTATTCACTTGTGGATATTAACGAACAATTTGTTCAATTAGCATGTGAGGAAAGAGAGAAAGAATTGTCATATATTTTTAAAGGGTAATGATAAGTTTGAACAAAAATTTTCTAATTCATTGAGTTACATACAACAACTTTACAATACAATACAAAAGAAGGAGTTTTCTAGTGTCTGTTCAAACATCTTCAATCAATGGGTCAATATATTTTGCATAAATTCTTTTTCATGTTCTAAGTCGTTAGTTTAGTTAGTGACCGGCAGGCATAGTTATACCGGTACCAGAATGATATCTAACAGGCGCACCTGTATTTCTTGTTACTGCAGTTGCATTGTCATCTCTTCGGCGATGTTTCATTAGCAATTTTTTCACATTAACTCGAAACGCTTTAGAATGTGCATAGTAAATATAAAAACTAGCAGCTGTGTATGTCTCATAGAAAACAAATATAATTGATTGAAATAGATTTTCCATAGCCATTCGTAAATCACTCTTCGGCAACTCGTACGTCACCGTTATATAGAGGTTGACTGAAAAGAATGTTATAGTTTGAAATAAAAATAAGAGAATTTGCGGTATTAACATTCGTGAAAGTTGACTGTCGAGACGTTGACGTCGATGTGCTTGTTGATGATTTGAAACAATAGCTACATCGTCACCTTGATGAACTGGATGAATATGTTGAAGATTTCGATAAGTTTTATATCCGAATACAGAGAGTATAATGAGAGGAACGAATGAAAACATTACAGGTATGAGAAAATAAGAAGCATATTGTAAATAAATTTCATTATCAACACATTGTTGAATGTTTGTATCAATATTCCAATAGAGAATATCTGGAATCGCAAGAAGAAATGAACAGAAAGTGACAATTACAACTGAGATTTTGGCAACTTTCATTGAACTCCATTTTCTCAATTGTATTCGACGTGATGAACATAAGTAACGATCGATAGAGGCCAAACAGAGCATTAACGTTGAAATTAAATTTGTCGTATCAGATGCCCAGTTTATTAATTTACACCAGACAAGATTTGTTTGTGTTCCATTTTTCCGGTAGATAAGGCCAACAGTTGCTGGCAGGACATAAATAAGAAGAGTTAAAGTGTCGGTAATCTCTGCAGTAAGTAAATAGAATGAACAAACATTATTTTTAAGTTTTGTAAGAAACATGATAATGCTAAGAGTATTTCCGAAGATACCCATAACGAGAATAATACTATAGCCATAAATATAAATTTGAGTACTAGTGTAGTTTAGAACGTCGACTATGGACATTTTTCGTAGTCTTCGTGAATGTTCTAGAAAAATACAGAAGAACTTCTTTATCATCTGTCTATTATTCGTATCAACATTATTAATTGAACAGTGAAACAACATCTAAAAGGGGTGATGAAGTGTTTGCGGGCAGAAATTTGTACCCACAGACTATGAAACACCCACCTGTTATCATTAAAAGATACTCCGACAAGAAACTATAAATAAAGGAACATTTCTAATCTTTATTTCCCAAGTAATTAAAGTCATGAATGTATTAGAAGATCTCATCTAACTGCGATATATAAGACATTACTCTGAATAAATGACTCTAAATGTAAATCAGAAGACTCATTCATATCCTGTGGTAAATCTTTTTGAGCGAGTCGATGGATTTTCGAATCCATACTTCTTTTATTTTTCTAAGAAAATAAGAAAAAATGACAAAAATTCCATGTCTTACCCATTTTTTAGTACATATCTGACTCTTACTTTGTGATTTTTAGTCAAGAGATCTCTAAATATGAACAGATATTTCTAACTAAAAGTTCTTTTTTCCGGGTATCATTGAAAACTATAATAGAAATATTTTAAGGACATGATTCTTCATACTCTACAATATTAAAAGACAGACAGAAAAGAAGATATAATATATCTGCTTTCTCTATGTTATTAAAAATTATAATAGAATTGTTCTCAACAGATACTTACTCACACTTCACAATATTAAAAGATGAGTAAAAAAGAGGAAATTAGAAGTCTGCTTTCTTTATATCATTGAAAATTATAATAGAAAAACTTTTAACAAATATATATAATCATAATCCACAATATTAACGGATGAACAGAAAAGAGAAAATTAGAAATCTATTCCAAAGATTTTATTGTAAAGAAAATAATCAAAGAAGAGAAAACAAATTGCTGTTATTGAGTGTGATCGTTTAGTATATAGTTGGTTATAGTGAACCCAAATATAATTCTTATACTAACAGTGATATTGAAAATTAAGTGAAAAGTATATATGATACTACTCGAAATTTTAGAATATGATTGATATTTTGTAAATATAAATACTTTGATCTTTGTATTGTTTTTGACTCCCTATAATGGAGTTCAACCAGTATTAGTTATTGCCGTTTTCAAGCATCATATCAAAATAGAACTATTTGTAATTATGTTCTGTATTTGATGTCATTCTATATATAATATCATATATTTTCAACTCTTTGTCAGGAACTACTCATAAAAACATGCATAATTTTTCTAGAGTTAAACGAGTAAAGTAAAACCTAGCAACATTATACAACTGCTACGTTGAAAAATTAAAGAATATCATCAATTTATTTCTACATAAATTTCGTTTATAGCAATTCTTTGCTTAGAGTGTCTTGTGTATTCAAACAGTATTTGTCAATAGAAATTTAAAAGAAATAAAAGAGAGTTAATACAGTGAATATACGCGTTTTACTTGAGTAAATGACAACAAATAAAGTTTTGAAATAGTTTATACTAATTTTTAAGAAATCGAACGCCAAGATAAGCGATAAATCGACAAAAGATGATGAATGCCAGTAATGCTCCAATACAACCACCAATATTGATATAGTCTAAGCCTAGCTGTTTGATTGTTGTTTCACCATTCGGGATGCAAGTACTTGTACCTGCATCTGCACATGACAGAGTAAGACCTTGTAATTCGTTAAGACTCACACCAACATATGTATACTTAGCATAAGACAATGCATCAAGCCATGAAAAGTATTTTGGTAAATTAACTGGAGATAAAAAGAAACCACCAAAAAGACGAGATACTTCAAGTGCCATCGGTAGAATTGTTACACTCATATTGGCCGTCTTGCATAGAGCAGAAATCATTAGTGCTAATGATGTTGCCGCGAGAGAACAGAGAGCCGTAAAAAGCATGAAAAGAAAAAATTTGCCCGGTAACGGTTGTAATCCAACAATAAAATAGACCACACATGACTAAAAATTTTGATGAAAGAAATTAGAAAAACTTTAGACAGTATAACATACAAATATAATGGGTACAGGAATTTGAACAAGTGTATCGGCAATAATTTTAGCAGTAAAGTATGCACTAGATAAATAAGTACCAGACGCTCGTTCGCGTAATGTCAACGCACGTTCCATTGGAAACGAATTAATGACCATCAATGCACCAAATATACCTTGATTGACAACACAAAAGAAGAGAACTGGTTGACGACGAACAGTACTCGTTTGTGATTGACCTATTTGTAAAAATGCCGTTCCAATTAAAACAGCAATAATGACTGTTTGAATCAACGATGCTATTATGACTTGAGATTCACGTAAATGCGCCTGAAAATCACGACGAAGAAGAATACGCACTTGTTTATGCCATATAGGATTAAGTGGTAAATTAGCCATTTGAGCAAGCCGTTTATGTGCACCCATATTGAGATCAATTGTTATGGGTGTTTGTGCAGCAGTAATCGCTTTATCTGTGATAGCTTGCTGTTTAGGTGAAACGATTGCTTCGTTATGCTCTGCTGATGGATCACGCTTAGACGGTGTAATCACATCAAGAAGATGATCAGCTGGATTTGTATATAATGGGCATGGAAAACCCGCTGCTCGAAATGTTTCCTGAAAGGAATTCAAAAGAAAAACATAGAAAGATCAGACAACTTTTTCTTACCATGGCTTGGTTTCTTGGACCTTGATAAATAATATTTCCTTCTTTGAGTAGAATAAGTGAATCAAATAAATTGAAGATTTTTGATTGAGGCTGATGAATTGAACAGACAATTGTCACTGCTTTTTCTTGTGTTTTACCATG